CAGGCAGCCAAGCAGCCCCCAGCAACCTGCCCTGTACCAGCACCAGTGCGGCTGCAGGGCCAGGGCAGGGATTGAGCCCGTGCACTGGGCACTGGTGAGGCCGCACCTCGAATCCTGTGTTCAGCTCTGGGCCCCTCACTACAGGAGAGACATTGAGGGGCTGGAGCGGGGCCAGAGAAGGGCAGCGGAGCTGGGGCAGGGCCTGGAGCACAGTGTGATGGGGAAGGGCTGAGGGACCTGGGGGGTTCAGTGTGGAGAAGAGAAGGCTCAGGGGGGACCTGATGGCTGCCTCCAACTGCCTGAGGAGGATGGAGCCAGGAGGGGCTGGGCTCTGCTCCCAAGGAACAAGGGATGGGACAAGAGGAACCGGCCTCAAGCTGCACCAGGGCAGGTTTAGATGGAGCTGAGGAACAATTCCTGCCCCAGAGGGTGCTCAGGCATTGGAACAGGCTGCCCAGGGCACGGCTGCAGGCACCATCCCTGCAAGTGTTCACGTATCATGGAGACAAAGCCTCAGTGGTGGCCATAGCACTTCTGAGTCACAGGATTCTTATGACTTCAGGTAACACCAGCATAAGGGAAGTATCTCCTGCACTGGCAAGCTGGGGGCTCAAAGGGTTACACTGACTGTTGAGCACCATGCGCATTCAGCTGTGGGTACCCACCTCAGTTGTGCTTGCTCAGGATGCAAGTGGAGCTGTTCCCCCTCCCTGCCCTGCTCTGAATTCCCTCAGAAGCTCTGACAGCCTCATATTCTGCTCCAATTCATACCCATCAGCTCAACAGCACTGGAGAACTCTCGTGTTACAAGGAAGCAAAGAGCTCTTTGGCAAACCCTTCCCAACCAGTTCTGGAGAACACAAACAGATGAAGGTATCCTAAAAGTTTATTGCTGCCCCATTAATAAAGGCGCTGGGGCTTCCCCATGGTGCTCTTGATGTACAGAGCACGCACGTTCTGCCAGTTCTTCTTCAGCAAGGACACCAGGAAGTTGATGGCCAGGTGGATGTTGTAGACGAGTTCATCCTCTGTCATCTTCACGTGGCCAACGGCCACAGCCAGACAGAGCACCTGAGGGACAAGGACACCATGGTCACTGATGCAGTAAGAGGTTTTGTGGGGAAAAATGAAAGATTACAGCAAAGTGACCGACAAAATCACTGAACTAAGTGGGATATCAAATCCCCTTGTGTTTTGTCCACTGGACATGACTCCTCCACCTTATCTACGGGTGTTTCCACACAGCAAATTGTGTTTGGCACATGGCTCCCATGAACACGTCTGGCAGCATCTGGATGCCACCTCTGAACAGCACCTAGCTTCCTCAGAGAGCAAAGGGGCCTTAGAAATGAGCACTAGGACCTTCCAAAGATGGGGAAACTGGGAATGACACATAACACATGGTGCCGAAGAGGCGCTAGAGTGGGAGCAGACCTCTGTTTTAACCATGCTCCCACCAACCTGCTCATGGAGCAGTGTGGAATGTGTCCTGCAAACCTCTAGCCCCAGACAAGAACAGTTAGCTCCAAACTTCCTGTGAAGCACAGCCCCAGTTTCACTTTTTGCCTTGGCCACCAACCCTCTTTCCATGCACAAGAGGCTGAGAAGCCTCTGCCTGCCAGGCTGGATGAGGAGCTTGTAAGTCAGCGTTCCCCACAGGCACAAGACAAAGGGACTTATGAGCAAGCTGACAGGCAAAGTGTCACGACATCATTAGCTCAATTACTTAAAATGCTCCAGCATTTGGAAACTATCACATTTGCCCTGCCCTCCCAGTTGTGCCCCCAGGCACACAGCAGCTGGTGTCCAAGGGTGCACCACAGAGAGCAGAACTGTTAATTCTGAGTAACACCCACTTAAACCACTGAGACAAGATGCCTGAACAGGGTTAAAATAACCTGTTTTATGGAGCTCCTGTTCTGGGGAGTCAACTTGCTTTGACACCTCTTGACAGCAAGAGCAGACATCTCCAGAGCCACTTGCAGAGTCAAGTTCCAAACCTGCTTCTGGCAAAGCACTGAATTGCACACACCCACAGGGGCTGCACCCTGCAAATGTCACCCACTTGCTGTAGGAAGTGTTAATTATGACTGTGCTCTGCATTGAAACATCATCTCATCATCATCTGCTCTCACATCTTTCAGCCACATTATGAATTATGTCTCTTAGCCAGCAGCTGATGATGAGGGAGTCTCCTGGTCACCAGGCACTGTCTTAGGAAGGCACTCGAGGGACACCTACAGCCCAGCCCAGATATCGCAGCCATGTCTGAGTGACCACCCCAGTCACAGGCAGGAAGCTGCCCTGGAGAGGAAAAGCTCTGCCTTTACCTTCTTCATCTGAAACTTGATGGTAGATTTGACCTCATCAACCTTGGCCACCAGGTTCTCATTGTGAGTGAGAAGAGAAGGGAATTTGCCAGCTTTGTTCAGCCCTGGTCCCAGAATTCGAGGAATTTGCTTGATCAAGGACTCAGAAGCCAGGAAGGCGTCATACTTCTTGGCTGTGAGGAAAGAACCAACATGGGTAAGGATGGGCTCTCAGCTCTGACACCGAACTTGAGACTGTGCTGCTCCGTCTCCCTCAGCAGGCACCTTTTGACACTGAGTCCTGCCGACTTGAACCCAAGCTGGTTTTACCATTACTGTATCAGAACTTACTCCTGTCACAACAGCCAAACCCACCCGCACCCAGCTTCACCCCAACAGCACACTGAACTGTGCACAGCTCATTTCTCTGGAGAAAGTGGCATTTATTGAGCCAAAGGTGACCAACGCTTAACTCTGAGCTCCAAGAGCCTCCCACCACAGCCTAAGCACCTCTGGATGGGCAGATGTACCACACACCTTGGAGAGGCTGAGCTAGCAGCCATGGTATCCCATCTCATTTCCTTATTATGTACAATTTCATGGCTAATTATAGATTAAGCAGGAAGGTTTTCTTGTCTGCCTACGGTATGCACCATTTTGACCTTGCCTTTGCAGGGAGGTAAGGATTTTCTCTCTTAGTAAGTGAAAATATGCAAATTTCATTCCCTTCATGTAAATACTGCAGGACTAAATCCAGCTTTTGCCTCCAGCATCCCAAAGAGGAATGCGAAGAACACCAAGTAAGGGTGACACCAAAGACAGGAACATTTCGTGTACTCCTCCCTTCCAGAGGGCCTCCTCCTTCCAGGAGGGCTGACCTGTCACACCTCCTGCACTGCTAACTGTTGGCTTTTCAGGGTAGTTTCCAGCCTGATTGCTGTACTTGAGGCTGACTCTGGTCAGCTTCCTATTCCCTGCTGTTAACCACAACACAAAAACCTGAGCACATGGGAAGCCACCTTGCTTAGCCAGCCCTCCCATGTCAGCCAGGGCACTCTGAGCCCGACCCACACCAACACTCACCCAGCTTCTTCACCAGCTTCTTGTTTTTGTTGAGCTTTTTCAAAGCTTCTATGTCCATGTGAGGGATGTCAACTGCTTTGGCCTCATCACAGTGCTGCTGGTCCCCCAGCAGGCAGACAGAGAACTTGGGCCGTGGGGTTGACTTCAGCCTGGAGACAGAAGGTCTGAATTACTATAAACCTCCAGCACCACACACTCTTCCATGGGAGCCAACACAAGAGGTACCTTACCACAGTGCCTGGACCTCTTCCTTCACAGCTGCTAACCTGCCTTCCCCAGCAGGTCGGTGGGGACAGCACCCACCTCCCCTCATGTTTTAAGACCCAGGGTTGGGGTCCGTCCAGCCGCACCCGTTTAACTGGGGTGGGCTGAACTACCCGAGCGGTTCAGCGCCGCGTCCTCACACCGCAGCGGCCGTCCTGCCCCATGGCAGGGCCCGGCAGCGCAGAGGGGACACGGGCTGAAGGCTGGGTGGGAGCAAGAGAAGGCCGAACCTGACGGTGCCGGAGAAGCGCTTGTCTTTCTGCGGGTCGTAGTTCTTGAGGCTGATCTGCAGCTCCACCGTCTCCACAAACCTGAGGGACGGCAGAGCAGATGAGGGCACAGCCGGGCACGGCCCCGCGATACCCCGGTCCCGCCATAGCACAGGGCTCTTACTTGCGCTTCTTGACCTTGCTGCCCTGCAGCACCTCCTTCACCGCCTCGTACAGGGTGTCGCGGGAGACCTTGCTGCTGCGGGGGGGAGAAACAACGGGGGCTCAGGACGGACCCGGCCTGGACCTCCTGTGGGCTGCGGGGACGAGGCCGCTGAGCCCGCCCTGGCCCGCTCGCGCTCCCCCGCCATCGGCCCTCGTGTCCCGCTCCCCGCAGCCGCACGGCGGGCGCGGATGGCCGCGGATGGCAGGGGATGGCCGCGGATGGCCCAGCACGCCCGAACCCACCTCATGATGGCTCCAGCCTGACGAGCCCGAAAGGGGGCGGTGACTCCCGCCGCGAGATAAATAGGGGCAGGAATCTCGCGAGACTTGGGGTTCGCCATGCTGGGGGCGGTAAGGCGAGGCCGCCATGTTGAGAGTGGCCGGACCGGCTTCACCTCCCGGCTGCCCCGGTGGGCAGCCCGGCCCCATCGCCGCTGCTCAGCGCCAGCCGCGGATCCTGCCGCCCGGGCTGTGCCCGGCTGCGGAGGGACTGCCGCAAGGCACGACTCCTGAGGGGAACCTGTGGCTTCAATGTCAGTATTGCGCATGCGCCTCGTCGCTCTAGCACTAAGTTGGCCCTGCCGGCCCAGTTCCGGGGAGCGGAGTTGCTGTGCCCCGGAACCTGTATACCAAGCCAGCGGCTGCCGAGGAGCTGAGGGGGGTGTTGCTGTTATGCGTGTTGCGGGGTGGAGCGAGCAGGGGCCGGACCCGGACCCGGACCGCACAGCATGATGGTCAGGCGGCGGACTCGGTGCCGTCGCGTTTCCTCAGGTTGGTGGCGGAGGCTGGGGGAGGCCGGACGGCACGGGGTGAGATGGTGGCTGAGGGCCAGCGGTGCCCCGGCGAGCTGCTGCCGACGGACCCTTGGATAACAGCGTGAGGGGAGCCCCGCCGTGTGTCCCCGCCATCCCCCCCGAGCACTTGGGCCTGTCCCGCCGCTCCCCTCAGGGCTCGCCGTGGCACAAGGCCCGGCCCTGCCGCGGAGGCACGTCTTCTGTCACCCTCGGGCTGGCTTCGCGCTGCAGCCTACGCTTGGTTTTCCTCAGGCAGCGCCTGCCCCATCCCTTCCAGGGGGTTGCAGCCCCTCCAGCCGTTTGCATGGCAGCCACAGCAGCGCAGAGGGTCTTCTGTTCCCCAGCGACCCTGCTGTGACTGAGCGTTTGCTGGGGAATGAGCCGTAGTGCTTATCGGGAGGTGTCAGCACTAAAAGCTAAGCAGAATCTGCTGCGGTGAGTGAGGTGTCTGCAGGATGTAGGGAGCACTTAGGTTAAAGGGCATTGAGCATGGCACAGAGCCTGGCTGTGCCCACGGGTGCTGCAGTGTCAGGCTGAGTGGTCAGACTTGTTCCTGGAAATCAAAAGGGTAAAATATGAGGCTATCTCAGAGATTACTCGTGAAGGATCCAGTGCAGCTGCTTCTAAAGGTAACCAGCAAAGTGCCTTCAGTGAAACGCTCTTGTTGAGGTGTGGGTGTTTTAACATCATCTGCTATAGCCTGAAATTCGGTTCCTCAGAAGCCCAGGCATTGGACAGGAAAGGGAGGAGAGAAAACTTCCATGCACTAAGCTCATTGTCCTGCTCATCTTGCAGTACAGGACACCCTCCGCCTGTAGGTTCACACTTCAGAGTACTCAGAAACCTTTCCTGCAGGTCATATGGAGCATGGGAAGGGCTTGAATGGGGCGTTTACACTATCTCTAGGGACAGTCTGTCGATTCACTCACTTGATAAGCTTTATCTTATACTTACCTGTGGAATAGATTTACTCCTGCTTGCCATTGATACACACCCTTTGACCAGTTTAATCCTTTATAGTCTGAAAAATCATTTGCCATTTAAATATTTCTTAATGTGCAAAAGTGGCTATACATATGTTGGGTGAAAACAAAATTTGAATTGTTCTTTTTATTCAAGGCTTACAACAAGAACACAGCTCCTTTTTCCACAAAACCATTTGCTCTGTGTCCTGGTGCTCTCTACGAGCACACTGAGTAAAGTGAAATTCATGTCTGAGGACCAGCCATCGGGGCAGGATGGAGAGCTTGGGCCTGCAAACAGTGACCCTTAGTGACGGGATGACAGCCTACATTCAGCAGGCTGTCAAAGGTAATGGTTCCTTTGTGCTATGAATCATAGAATCATAGAGTAGTTAGGGTTAGGAAGGACCTTAAGATCATCCAGTTTAAGTCTCAAAGTGGCTTGATTGAGTCTGAAATTCAAGTCAGAACTTACCAAAAGTGCCCTTGTGTGCAAACCATGTGTGATTCCTTTGGACAGGAAGCTGACAGCTCTCTTAGATTTCCACAGTAATGCAGTAGAAATCAAACATGCCTCTGGTTGGAAATAAAGCTTTGGAGATGGGAGAGGTGTTGCTGTAGAAAATAAAGGTTCTGTTCAGACTAGAGTGAGCCCTGGAATAACTGGGAAAATGGAGTTCACACTATGACCTGCAGGACTCTATCCAACCCTGAAGCTAAGCAGGATGGTTTATTTCATTGAGATGCAGAGAATTTGATTCCCAGTAGCGCTTTTCTCACTCAAAGTGGGGTTGAGCTTGGTGTCGACTAACTGGGGAGAGAGTGCCTGCTCTGATTTTGGTGGTTGTGAGGTGCTGCTTCCTTCACCACCCACTGTTCCTGAGAAAAGGAACATGTTTTTTTTTCCCAGGCTGTAGAACAGGAAGGTTGAGTTGCAAGGCTTCATGTCCTGGGGATTCCTCTCCTGCTTTCCTTTCTGTGCAAACTTGATAAGTTTGTTACATGTGGAGTTGGACTGTCTTGAAACTACCAGGTTTTGTGATAACATGCCCCCCCTGACATTGTGCACCAGGTGAAAGCAACCTGGGCTCCTCATTTGTAGTGGGACAGAGCAATGTCCTCTCTGCATCAGATGATTTGGGAGCTAAAACATAGTATAGTTCAGAGTTACACTATTTGAAGAGTCCAGTGTTCACAGCCCATCAAGGGTGGCATCACTTTATGCCCCTTTATAACTTTTCCCCAAGAGTTTATCCTCCATCAAAGCAGAAGAAAATAAATGTCCAGGCCCTTGCTGATGCCAGTGAAAGCTCCTAGATTTTTTTTCCAAGCACAAGTATAATTGCTTTCTACTTTAGATCCAAAATACATAGCACACATCATTCTTTCTGCTTCTTGGCTCACAGAGCTGTGAAGAGCAGCTTATAAACAAACAATAACAGGTTCTTTGTCTTGTATCCTCTTGTCTAGGTAAAGGAAGCTCCAGCATTTCTAGGAAGTGCCTCTATGGCTATTCAGGGAAAAGCTTCATAAATAACAGCCTATCAGTAGCAGTTTCACTGTCTTCTGGGTACTGGTTTCCTTATGAACATGTAGCAAAGGGTACAGCTCATGGGACCAGGAAGACTGAGCTCTGCCGGCAGTGCTGGTGGCATTTTTTTAACTGTTTCAGATGGAAAGCTGGTTGAAGGACAAGTCATCGAACTCGAAGATGGGACCACGGCTTATATCCAACAGGTGACAGTTGAGAAAGGTGAGGACCATAAATTCACCTTTTGCTTTTTAGAAGGATGTTGTAACTGCAGTTGTCTGTATTCCAACAGTGGGGCTCCTCTATTAGCTCGAGCTTTAAGAAGTCCATACAGGCATAGGGTTTTTTGTCCCTTGCCCATGGTTTTGAAGTTGAATGAGCAAGGACACAGAACATGTGATTTCCTGCAATCTGACAAGGCCATTTTGCTGGTGGTGTAAGCATCAGTTTAAGTGTTGTTTCACCTGTGGGCTCTCCCACAGTTGCCAGTCTGGCATCACAAGTCTGCAGGCAAGGCCAGGAGCTGTGTGCTGTGTTTGTGCCAACTACAGAGCCCAAACAAAGTGTGCTTCCTGTGGGAGCAGCTGGACAGGAATTTCCTCTGAACCAGGAGATAATATATTCTGCAATAGGTGTTTGGGTATGTGGGGTTGTTGGAAGCAATGACCCATTAGCCAATGTCACCTCTGAAATGAGGCTACATTAAATAATCTGAGTGGTGTTGGGAATTCAGTTCATGTGGCAGGCACCAGAGTGGCACAGAGGAATCCTCTCTGACCATGGTAAGATGTAAACGGGCAGGTAGAAAGAGCTCTGTGGCTCTGGGCAGTTCTTCCTTCACTCTCCAAAGCTTCTTGTGAGCCGCCTCCCTTATCTGTTCCTAAATGGTTGCTTGAAATCACTTTGTGTTCTTGGCTGTGCCACTTTCCTCCTTTCATCCTCTTCCCTGCCTCCAAACACACAGTGAGAGGGGTTTTCCTTCTCACCAGTTTCCCCTGCTATGGGATGTTTGTGTTCTCCTTTACACACACCTGTGCCAAAGCCATCACAGAATAGTTTGGGTTGGAAAGGACCTTAAGATCATTCAGTTTCACCCCCCCCTGCCATGGGCAGGGACACCTCACACTAAACCATGGCACCCAAGGCTCTGTCCAGCCTGGCCTTGAACAACGCCAGGAATGGAGCATTCACAACTTCCCTGGGCAACCCATTCCAGTGCCTCACCACCCTCACAGTAAAGAACTTCTTCCCTATGTCCAGTCTAAACTTCCACTGTTCAAGTTCTAACCAGTTACCCCTTGTCCTATCACTACAGTTCCTACACTTCTTAATGAAGGGTCCCTCCCCAGCCCCCTTCAGATACTGGAAGGCTGCTATCATTTGTGTGTGGGGCATTAGTTGGCATTTTTAATGGGTGATACTCTGCATTTAGCCCAATGAGCTAAAGAAGTGTGGCAAAGCTATGCATGAAGCCTTAAAAACATCATAATTCGTGTTGGAAGGGCTCAAATGGCATCTTAAAACCTATAGGTGTGGTTGACTTTCAGTGGAAGCAGGCAGCCCTGCTGTGTACTCCTCTGTGTACAGAGGAATGAATGGTTTGTGAGCTTCCCCTCTGTTCTGTCTGAGTGTTCCAGTAAGGTGTGTGTATCTTTTTGTTCTCTCTTAGAGTCTGTGGCTTTTGAAGATGGTCAGCCAGTGGTGTTGGAAGATGGCAGTATGGCCTACATACACGATGCAGCTAAAGGTAACGAGCATTCCCTGTTCTTCCCTTGGCAGCTGGAGTAGAAGCTGTTACATAGTTCCAAGGCTGTAGATAGCCCAGGAGATGAAGAGTGCTTCTTACTCAGCAGCCTTTTCACGCTGGATTTGTTGGTTTCCTCTTTCCTCTTACAGAGTGTTATGACCCCAACACCTTCGAGGCTGTCCAGCTGGAGGATGGCTCCACTGCCTACATACACCGTCCTGTCATTGTGCCACCAGGCAGCACCATCCTGGAAGTGCAGACAGAAACTGGGCTGGAGGAGTTGGCTGGAGAGGAGGAAGATGATGCCTTTGATGTGGAGACCATTAATGCATTAAAGCAGTACACCAGTAAGGTAAGGACACAGTTCTTCTTTCATGGTCTGGGTGTAGTAGTCCACATGTGGTCTGAGGTTGGAGTGTCCTCGCTTCATTAGTGCTTCTGTGTATTTGTTTTTCAGCACTGCCACCTTTGAGAAGAGAAACTGGACAGGGCTCCAGTGAGGGCACCACTCACAATAGGTGACACTTGAGGACCTAGAGCAGGACAGTTTTCTGCTGGACCCTCTAGCTAGCTCCTGCAGAGTGCTGAGCCTACCACCCTTAACCTGCTGCAGGCACACATTTGGGAAGAGCAGAGCTGCTGTATACAGCTTGGATTGCTTTCTTCCTTGCTTTAAATGTCCCTCCTTGTAGGTGTTCTCTTCGTGTTTGCCTGGCTTCCCTGAGTATGATGTTCCCTTCCACAGATTATCCAGGCAGCAGATCAAGACTAGCATTTTACGTGTCAGGAGTGCATAAGTTATGACCACTGTCCATCAGGTTGACAGAGACCTTAAAACCCAGAATAGCTTCACATCTGATGTGTTGTCACTGCAGTGCTCCATCTGAATATCTTGAGTGCTGCCATTTTCTCCCGTCTTCATGGTGTTGCATGAGAAGGGGCTACCTGGAGCATGCTGATAGAGTGTTCAGCTGGGCAGCAGTAAGATTTGCCCATGGAGACCTTTCTGCTGTGGTATGACCTCACTCTCTGGAGAAGAGTGTGGTGTCACTGTAGATAGAAGTGCTTCCTGCTTGGGGTGCTTGTCTGCTCCACACCGTACAAGGAGGCATGAACAGTGCTGTGCTTCTTTACTTGCAGGCTTCTGACAAGGAAGAGGAGGGAGTGACAGACCCCTGCCACACGAAGAGCAAGGACTCCAGCAATGTCTCTTCCCAGGTCTGAATTTCTTAGTGATGCATTCCTGAAACTAGGCCAAAAACTCCTCTTCATGCAGAGCACTTTGCCAGGTAGTAGTTAGCAAAGCTTTGTGGCTTCTCTGCAAAGTTAGCAAATACATTAGCTACAGGTTTTACAAATGAGCTAAGGGAAGCACAAAGAGGTAAGTTATGTGTGGGAGAATAGCCAGTGTGAACTTTGGGGTGGGAATGGGAAATGCTGGTTCCTAGACCTGTGTTCTGTCACATGGGTTGCATCATATGTGTACAAGCTGTGTTTGTAAGGACATGTGAGGATGCCTAGGGGCTGGCACAGGGTGCCCAGAGAAGCTGTGGCTGCTCCATCCCTGGCAGTGTTCAAGGCCAGGTTGGACACAGGGGTTAGAGCAAGCTGTTCTAGTAGAAGGTATCCCTGCCCATGGCAGAGGGTTGGAACTAGATGATCTTAAGGTCCTTTCCAACCCAAACCATTCCATGATTCTGTGTTTTTGTGAGGATAACTGAAGGAGTGCATACGTATAGCAAAGAGGGGAATTATTTATGTGGGATTCACAAAACCTGCTGTAGTGGCTCATTGAATTAACTCCCATACATCTTTTGGCAGGATTTGCAGGAGGAGGAAGTGCAGAGCAGTGAGAAGAGGCCGCAGGTTGGCAGCAAAGCTTTCCGCTGTGGGTACAAAGGCTGTGGCCGCCTCTATACCACCGCCCATCATCTAAAGGTAAAGCAGATAATATCCAGTCATGCAGACCAGACACATCCCCGTGTTACGGTGCCAGGTTGGAATGCTGCTATGGAAAAGCCTGAGTTGTATGTTTGGCTCCCCAAGAGATCCAGATGTGTAACTACCCAAGGTGAAGTCCAGCAGAGAACTTCAGATTCTCCCCACCAGCTAGATTTCTCCACACTCTGTCCTTTCCTCCTTGTCTTGGACTTCATTTTAGGAACCTGTTCTTTCTTTTTCCAGGTCCATGAGCGCGTTCACACGGGTGACAAGCCGTATACGTGTGACTTCCCAAGCTGTGGGAAAGCATTTGCTACAGGTAGCAGTTTCTCTTCTGAATAAATTTTGTTTTCTGTCCAGTCCAAACCACTCTTGAGCATCAGCCCTGGCTCTTTTTCCAGCTGAGCACAATGAGCATAGCTTTTAAAGCCTTCTGAGAAGGAATTTAAAGCCTTCTGTAGAAGGAATTGTAGGAGACTGAGACTTGATTGCTGATGAACAGATTTGAGCTACGAGAAGCAGCCGAGTTATCAGTTGTGTTGTGAGGCTGTTTGGGTATTTTTTGTCCTTCAGCTATGCAGGCACAGGACAGACATCCAAAAATGCATGAGCTGAGAGGTGATACACAGCTTGTCAGGTTATTTCCTTCTTGTTATAAAACTAATCATGGTTTTTTTCCTGGACAGGATATGGGCTGAAGAGCCACATGAGAACACATACTGGTGAGAAACCATACAAGTGCCCAGAAGATGTGTGTAGCAAAGCCTTCAAAACCTCTGGGGATCTTCAGAAACACATCCGGACACACACAGGTGAGCAGTACAGGAGGAGAACTGAGCTGCTTCTTGAAAGGGTCGTCCAAGGTACTCCAAGTAATGCTTCAGCCTTTGTCCAGGATGTGCCTATGAATCCTGGGTGAAACAAGGCAGACCTGAAGCTGTCTTCAGAAAGAAGTAGATGGGTTGTAGAAGTAGTACTAGGGATTCTTGGCTATGTTACAAACAACACAGCAAAATGGGTAGTGGTGCCAGTGCTGCTAGAGAAATATGCCAGCATTTGGATCTGATTGAGGTCTTGTTGTTGTAATACTGTAGAGGAGGGAATTTGAGGTTGGATATAAGGCAGAAGCTCTTCCCTGTGAGGGTGCTGAGGCGCTGGCACAGGGTGCCCAGAGAAGCTGTGGCTGCCCCATCCCTGGCAGTGCTCAAGGCCAGGTTGGACACAGGGGCTTGGAGCAAGCTGCTCCAGTGGAAGGGGTCCCTGCCTGTGGCAGGGGTGGGAGCTGGAGGAGCTTTAGGGTTCCTTCCAATCCAAACCATTCCATGATACAAGTGTCCAGGGCATTCCAGGTAGCTGAACTGTAGCAGGACTCTCATCCACGTTACTCTTCATGCAGGTGAACGGCCCTTCAAGTGCCCCTTTGTGGGCTGTGGCCGCTCTTTTACCACATCCAACATCCGGAAGGTTCACATCCGAACACACACAGGCGAGCGGCCGTACATGTGTCCCGAGCCCAACTGCGGGAGAGGTTTCACCAGTGCCACCAATTACAAGAACCACATGAGAATCCACACAGGTAAGAGGAGAGGGGGAAGCATGGACAGCTGCTTCCCAGTCAGCCAGCTGTATTGACAGCCTGTGGTGGCTGGGTAGTCTGTGGGACTGAAATGGCATTTCCAGGCATTGCAGGGGTAGATCTGGGGGTAGCCAGAGAGTTACAGGAAACGAGTCACTTTATTGGGCTGATTATTGTTTCACTGGTCTGTCTCCAGCTATTTGCTCTTCATGGGCATGAGGAGGACAAGAGGAAACTGCCTCAGGCTGCGCCAGGGGAGGTTTAAACTGGACATTAGGAACAATTCCTTCCCCAAAGGGTGCTCAGGCATTGGAACAGGCTGCCCAGGGCAGGGCTGCAGTCACCGTCCCTGCAAGTGTTCACACAGTGTGTAGCCGAGGCTCTCAGTGCCACGGGTTAGTGGTGGCCTTTGCAATGCTGGGGAACAGTTGGACTTGATCTTAAAGATCTTTTCCAACCTGGTTGATTGTATGAGGAGGGTGAGTGGGTCAAGCTCTGCTCTGTGGCCTCTGCCCTAGGAGAGAAGCCGTACATGTGCACTGTGCCAGGCTGTGGAAAGCGCTTCACTGAGTACTCCAGCCTCTACAAACACCATGTGGTGCACACCCACTGCAAACCCTACACCTGCAGTTGCTGTGGCAAGACCTACCGCCAGGCCTCCACGCTGGCCATGCACAAGCGCAGCAGCCACGAGGTGGAGGCCACGGAGGAGAGTGAACAGGCCCTCTACGAACAGCAGCAGCTGGAGGGTGAGCAACCAACCACTGTCCTGCCACCTGTGACAGGCTTTTGGGTCATTCCTGCATCAGGAATGTGGCAAAGGGGAGAGGAGTGACAGCAAGAGCTTCCAGCTGCTCCCCTCTCGGAGCCAGATCTGTGCTGTGGCCTCCTGCCTCCCTTATAAAAACCAGATCTGTGTCACAGACAAGAGAAGAGGGCTTCCCATGGTACTTACTCTATGTCACGGGTTGGGAGTGGGCTCCTGCCTATTCTTTAGTACAGGGAGAGGTAGACTCTCCCTCCTAGGCCAACACTGGGCTGTTGTCATGATCCTCTGCGCTGGCACCAGGCAGGTCCCAGGGTCAGGAGTGTGCCTTCACACTCTGATGAGCACATCTCATCCCTTTTACTCTTTGCTTTTTCTGACTCAGCTGCTGCTGCTGCTGAGAGGGGCTCCCCTCTAAAGAGCCAGCATACTGCGTTCCTGTCAGAGGTGGAAGAAAATGAAGAGGAGGAGGAAGATGAAGATGAAATAGCTGCACAGGTCTCAATCATCTCTCAGAATGAGACAGAGCAGGTATGGACACTGACAGCCTCCAGCATGTGGGTAACAGCAGTTACCTGCGTGACATTTGCCTCTGCCCAGACTTGGTGTTCTCTTCATGGCTTTTTATCAGCATAAAACAGACCCTTCATGGCTTCACGAGCTCTGTCTGTCCTGAGGGCTCCCTCCTTACAGCTTTACTCCACTGCTGCAGCCTGGATGTGAAGGGTAAAGAAAGCTCCTCTGCTACCTGACTCGGGGTCTCGTGGGTGTTTGCCCAGGCTTGGCGCAGTGCCTGGCAGCCCTCACCTTCCCAACAGCAGTCAGGAGGCAGCTTCCAGTCCCTGCTGACACAGGCTGGATTTGGAGATTGGTTTTTCATTGGATACAGCAGTGCTTTTCTTCTACTTCCCTCCACCAGCTGCCTGTGTGCCAACTGGGAAACACTCCCTTCTGTGGCATGGGGCAGAGGAGACAGGCACCATGAGTAACGCTTGTTTCTGCTCTGTCTGAGGTGCTCCCTGCTGCAGCAAGGCAGGAGCTGCCCTCAGAGCATGGAGAAAAGACACTCAGTGGGAAGGGGAGGTGCAGAATAAGGGGAAGGGGCTGGAGCCCTGAAGTCTTCCGAGTTCTCCATTGATCTTGTCCACAACCCTGGGCAGTCTTTGGAGTTCTTTGTGCCGTGGAGAGAATATTTTGTCTTTAGTGAACCCTTTGTGTTGTTAGACTTGGGAGCTGTGTAAGGCTTCCTGAGAAGTCATCCTGGCTGAGAGTATCCACTGTTGTTCCACCCAGGTCAGTTTGTCACGAGAAGACCTGCAGGCCCTGGGCAGTGCTGTCAGCATGGTGACACAGAGCGGTCCCCTCCCCGGACCCGAAGAGGAGCTGGTGGGTGATGGCACACACACCGTGACTGTGGCCAACACCAATGGCATCGAGACACTGCCGGTACAGATAAAGCTGGGAATGTCCCTTTTATCCTGCAGAGAAACAGCCTGCTGGAAGGGAACTGCACTGGTGTTTTTAATCTTAACTTTTCCAGGTTACCATAGTCACTTCTGGGGCAGTTGTATCTGAGGAATCAGCCATCACCCCCCTCCGTCATCAGCAGGTGGCTTTGCTGGCTACTGCCAACGGCACCCACATTGCAGTGCAGGTACCACACAGCTCCTGCCATGTTTCCCTTCATTCCCCCATCCACCCACTGGCTTCAGCACCTTCCCTAGTGCTCCTGCTGCATCGCCTCTTGTCTAGGGCTTCTTCACTCCCAGATGCCCTGTGTATAGAGGAGAGTAGGGATACACTCCTTGGATTGCAGAATGCTCCTTTGTAACCAGCCTTGCTGCATGCTAGCCATGTCTCTTTTCTGCTTTGCCCCTCTGCTTCATACCTGGGTCACCCACTGCGACCCCTCACACCTCTGTTCTGCTGGGGGCAGCCCCCACCTCTTGAGCCCACCTTTTGGGAGCACAGTGTTCTCTTTCTCTTTCCTCCTAGCTAGAAGAGCAGCAGAGCCTGGAGGAAGCCATCAGCATGGCTGCAGCAGCAATGCAGTATGAACCTGTGACACTTGATGCAGCTGTGTCTGAGAATGGGTGCTGAGCCCCTGCAGAGCCTCCCAGGCGGGCAGAGAAGGCAGCCCCAGCCTGTTCTCCACAGGGATGGTGGGAGCTGCTGGAACCAGGATGGCCAGCATGGAGAAGAGGTGCAGTACGTGAGCAATGGAAGGTGTCAGAGCAGCTGGCAGTGGCTGCACCACGCAGCTGGTGAGAGCTCATGCATTGGGCTACAGGAGTCACCCTGTTCAATGGGCTCTTCCCTCCGAGGATGGGTGGCAAAGGCTGCTGCCTTCTCTTGGAGGCTCCACTGTTTTCCTGCACTCTGAGCAGCAACTTCGCTGCTGCTTGCCTTGGGCACTGACTGCCTCTGTCTGAAGATGGTAGATGGTGTCTTCTAGTTCACAGCTAAGATCTCCAAGACCTGCCAGTCCTCGGCAGTAGAGGTGAAGCCACAGAGATCTCAGCAGTCTCAGTGTGCAAAATAGTTTCGGAGAGGCACGTTTCCTGCCCTCTCCCTCTAGGAACAGCTCCTCTTTCCTGCCCACCCCTCAGGTAAGGGGCATGTGGGCAGTGTTTGTACAGAAGCATTGAAGCCCCATCAAATCAAGCCTGGGCTGTCCAGGGCTCTGTGTCTGGAGCAGTGACCTGGTGCAGGGTGAGCATCCGGGCTGGCTTCGGCAGGAATTCTCCCATCTCTGTCACACTCTTGAGCAAACTTCCCTGGCAGACTCAGTGCTGTGGAGCAGAGCAAAGCATTCCCTCCACTGAAGCCAACCAGCTGAGCCAGGCTTGGATGTAAATACTGAGTTGAAATAAAAACAAACTGAAACTTTTCTTTCTGAAAAGAAGCACCTTCTCTCTTTCAGTTCCCTGGGCCAGAGGCTGGCAGAGGGTGGATGAATGTTACCAGGTCAGGATTAAGGAAGTTCTGGAGATTTATAGAATTCACAGAATCAGAATGGTTTGGTTTGGAAGGGACCTTCAGGATCATCTGGTTTTGAATTGGCCAGCAGTGTCCTGCCAGAGCTACTGAGGAGGTCAATTAACATGACATGTTGCAGCCTCTCAGCTCCCAGAGTGTCTTGGAGGGGCTGAGAGCTGTCTCTTGAATCTTATCTCAGATCAGGCATTGGCTTTTCCCCAGACTCCTGCAACCCTAGCTTGAGGGAATTGTGTCAATACAAGAAAGTGGCTGTGAAGGAATCCTGCAGCCCTCAGAGCTCAGGGGAGAGACATGGGCTGGCTCATCATCCCCATGGGAGGATTCCTCATCCTCTCCAGTGGGGCAGCTTGTGGACAAAGTGCCAGAAAATCATTTAGGTTGAAAGAGATGTTTAAGATCAAGTCCAACCTTAACCCCCATCCCAGTGGGGACTCCCAGCAATCACATGCTTTCTTATGGATGTACCCAAGGTGTTTGCAGAGGGTGAGGTTCTGCAGGTGTGGAACAGGCATAACCCGGGAAGGCTGCTGCAGGCTGTCTCCACTCCCCTTCCCTGGTGCAGCTGATCCCAAAACAAGCAGAGCTGGAACCTTTCCAAAAGGCTCCGTGCTCCTGGTGCGAGTGGAAACTCTTCATTTAACTCCCAGAAGAGGAAGCTGCTCTTTAAGCCAGGGAGGGAATTTCTCTCTGCAGAACACGAATGCTGAGAAAGCTTTTGATCTCCAGGCTGAGCTAGCGAAGGGCTCCGAATCGCTGTGGTGGTTGTGTTCCCTGAGCCCCGGATTGCGCTCCTGTGTGCATGGGGGTTCTGGGGCAAAGACCTGCAGCCCAGCGGGCTGTGGGGCTGCGATGGGGGGGGTCATACGGCTGCGATGGGGCCCGTGGGCTCCTCCGAGGTGCACCCAAGCAGATGGCGCTGCTGCTGCGTGCGTCCCCCAGCGCCCGGGGCTGTCGGGGCAGGCGGTTTCCTGGAACCGGATCCTCGGCCTCGGCAGAGCCGCCTCTGCCACTGCCGCCCGTAGCCATGGACCTGCGAGCGGAGCTCCTCAAGTCCATCTGGTACGCGTTCACCGCCCTGGACGTGGAGAAGAGCGGCAAGGTCTCCAAATCCCAGCTCAAGGTGAGCTCCCGGTGGGACTCGGAGGGCTCCGGCGGCTGGGCGGTGGGTGAGGAGCAGAGCAGGTCCGGGGATGCTGTGCATCGCCCCTGGGGTTCCATGGAGGGACTGTTAAATGTTAAGATTGATAAGACCTTGCTGTTAGCTCCACGCTGGGTTTGACGGCGTTTGCTGCTCTGTCCTGTTTCCCTTAACGAAAAAAAGAAAGGGGGGGGGGGAGGAGAGTTAATGCTCAAGTGTATTTTCTAGGTGAAAATGAGAAGTTTAATTTTTAGTTGTTTTTAGTTGTTTTCAGCTGCCTTCAGTTTCTTACGCTCTTTATGGCCAACTAACAGCCCAGATTGGGTTTATGTTTTCTTGCTTGCTGGAGCAGCCGCGTTTGTGCTTCCTGTTCAGCCAGCCGGTTGGGAGGTAGAGGCAGCCTGATTTTAAGCTGAGCCTCCTCAGTGGGCTGGCCAGCAATAACACACAGTGTTAAAGAAACCTCTGCTTTCCCCTGTCCTGCACCCCCTCAGAGGGCTCCTGCATTCAGCCCTTCTTCAAGCTGTCATGGCTTTAAGAACCTTTTCCTCTGCCTCCAGGACAGGCTCTGGGTGACTCTGTCGGGATGCACCTTGGCTGCGATGATGGTTACTGATTTGTAGGTTCTTTTTCCCTTCACAAATGATGGGACTGCTCTTTTTCTTTTGCTGCTGAGTAAACGTCCCCGTGTGGTTCTTAGGCTGGTGCTGGGGTGGGAAACGCTGGTTGGGGCTGCGATGCGGAGGAAAAACCTGAGCTAGAAACATGCAAAACACGGGGAGCTGTTGAGTCAGGACTTGGCAGCCGCTGCCTGTCTGTGAGAGGAGTTATGAAATGTTCAAAGAAACCTCTTTTCCTCTGTTCCCTATACTTCATAGGGCTTCCCCCAGGACACACTGTAGGGAAGATGCTGGGCTTGGTGGGCAGGGCATGTTTTGCCCCAAAATGAGGAGTTTTGTTCGCAGGGATCTGCAGGAGAAGCAGTAGGAGCTGGGCTGAGAGCCTTCAGCTGCTCCCCAGAACCATGTGCCCGTGCGAGCCACAGGCACCTACTTAAAGCTGGAGAAATAGTTCAAGGAATTAGGGAAAATCCCAAAGCAGGCCAGAGCCTATTTCCCCTTGCTAATCCCAGAGAGGGGCTGTTGTGCTCCCCTCACAGCATCCCCTGCACCCAGGCTTTGGGTGCTAAGCCCAGCCCAGGCGCTGCTGGCCCCGAACACGTGCAGCACTTGTCTGTGGGATCTTTATCAGCAGCGACAGCACGGAGGCCACAGAGACCCGAATCTGAACAGCAGTTTCTCAGGGAGCTTGGGCAGGGGGGACAAGAGCTGCAGAGCCTCATGTAGGGGATCTGGGGGGCCGGGCTGGTGTCTCCACAGTGGCTTTGCCCAGGGGGATGTTTTAGAGGGGAAAGAAGATTCACCCCTTGCTGGTTTTCATCCGCCTTCAGCAATGGCAGGGGATGGTGGCAGGGGAGGTTTAGATGGAGCTGAGGAACAATTCCTGCCCCAGAGGGTGCTCAGGCATTGGAACAGGCTGCCCAGGGCAGGGCTGCAGGCACCGTCCCTGCAAGTGTTCACACAGCGTGGAGACGAGGCCTCAGTGCCATGGGTTAGGGGTGGCCTTGGCAGTGCTGGGGTAAGGGTTGGACTGGATGGGATTAAAGGGCTTTCCCAACCCAGTTGATTCTATGGTTCTATGACTCCATGTTTCTATGACAAAGATCAACTCTGGATAACTTTCCACTCCCTTTTGAGTCCAGGGAGAGCTCCTTTGCATCCCATTACTGCCAAATGGTGGCTTGGGTTTGCTCCAGCCTACACAAGCCTGCACTGGGGTTTCTGTTCATTCCATGCAGAAGAAATCCAGGGTCTCACAGGTCTGTTAAAGCCACAGTGGCCATGTCCCCTCCAAACTCCTCCCAGGCTCTGCTCTGTTCCCTCACCCATGAAGGGTCTTGAAGAAAGGTGGGAGAAGTGCTGGTGTTCACAACACTTGCACATCAGAAACAAACCCAGCCCCAGGAGCTGGGGTGGGATTTGGTGGTGGAGGAGCAGCAAATGGAGCCTGGCACTGAACAACACCAGCCTCTCTCCAGCACAAGTCAGTTTGTCAGCATTTCAAAGCCATAGGTTGAGCAGTTGAGTTCTTTGCATGGACACTCCCATGCGAGGAAGCGTGTGCAGATGTGTAGGTGTGTGTCTGCACAGGAAGGAAAGACAGTTGTGGTTGAGTGCTACACAGCAAGCAGTGTCGGGCAGCGCTGTTCCCAGCACGGGCACACACCAGCCCTGCTCTTGGACAGGAGTTTATCCTCTCTCTCTGTGCCTTCACATCCTCCCTGGCCAAGCTGGTGGAGCTACACCCGGTCTCCAGGGATGCTAGCTGGGATGTGGGATGCAGGATGCTGCTCTCACTGAGTCCTTTGAGGCAGCCTGAGCATTGTCCTGGTGCTTCTCAGCACCTCTGTTCTGCTCCTGCTCATGTTGTGGAGGATTAGGAGCGGTTTGCTCCATCCAGGAGCTTGGTCTGCTGAGGCAAAGCCCTTGGGAGAGGAGAGGAAGGGGCAGGGGGACAGGCAAGTGGTTTAAATGAAGAGCTGCCTGTCAGGGAGTACAAATGGCTCTTGGCACAGGCCAGTGGGTCCCAGTTTGGCCAGCAACAGGTCTGAGAGCAGCTCATCCATTCAGGCAAAGGGAAAAGCCTTTCCCAAGGTCTGGAGCTGATGGTCCCAGCTCTCAGCTTGAGCTGATAGGGTGCTGAGGCAGCAGCCCCACTTGTGTCCTCCTCACTGCTGCTCAAGGGACCCTCGCTGCTGACAAAGGCATGCAGTGGGGGACCCCTGCACCCCCAGCTCTGAGTAAGCTTTGGTTTTCTCTGCAGGGCTGGTCTGCTTGCACTTGGGGAAACTGAGGCAGCAGCCACAGTCCCTGGGTGGTGCAGGAGCTCCGATCCCCCCTGCTCCTGCCTGCACAGGGAGCCAGGTTCCAGCCTGAAATGTCACCCCAAGCCCTGGCATCACCCCCAACACCTTCCATGAGGGTGAAGAATGGCGCGGCCGTTCTCCATCTGCATCAGATCTGTGCAGAGGGATGGGAATGGGATGTGATGGGGAGCATGAGAGCACAGGAGAGGTTGGAGAACAGTATTGGGGCTGGTGGTCAGAGGGAGCTGGGATGCCCAGGGGTGTCAGGCAGACCTCTGCACACCCCCTGCATGGAAAGGCTGTGCCAGAAAGCTGCTCTCAGAGCATCCCTCTCCTTCTCCCTGCTGTTATTTTCCCTTCCTAGCCCCCATTTCAGAACCCAGCCGGGGGCTAGGGTGGTTTCCCACCTCTCCTCCCTATGCGGGGTTTGGGCAGCCCTGGCTCCCACCATCACCCCACCATCAGCCCTTCCCTCCCTGCCCCAGGGATGTGGATCCTGTAGGAATCAGAAAGGGATTCTGTAGGTGATGGAGCAGAGGGGGTGAGGGTCACAGCATGCTGGGATGGATGGAGGGGCTCGGGGTGCTGGCTGTGGCCCAGGGACACATGCGACAGCTCCCAGGGCTTTTTGGGGTTCTGTGAGAGGAAGTGTGAGCGATGGGGATGAGGCCCAGCATTGCAAATGCAGAACAGGATGCGATTCCCAAACTTTCAGTCCATCCTGATGGATTTGTTCATTGTCCTGGAGGATGCCCAGTGCTTTCCACCCCTGCGTGGACCCTGGGGCTGCACTGAACTCCAAAGGGCTCAGCCATAGCAGCAGCAG